AGGTTTTGCACTAGATGTCGGATGCCCTGGATGTGGTTTTTGTTTCGAGCTTTTATCTCAGCCAGCGGCTGCATGTAGTCAGAGTGCAGCTCTGCATGCACTGGTTTCGTCAAGTCGTACCAAACAATGTTTGACTCACCTGGAATACAAAATAAAAGCTGACATGGATGAAGACAAACCTACTGAACAAACTCGCTCCTCCTAAAGTAGACCTGTTGCTGAATTTGAGAAATTAATTTCCTCTGAATCTGCATTTACAGACCACATAGACACTTTAAAACGTCACAGGATACTAGCAGTATCTTAAAAATCTGTAGGATTACCAATACATAGCATGCAGATTTGACATATCCCCACTTCCATGCAAATATTGGGTTTTACGATCACCACTGAATGTATCACAGATACATTCAGCATTTGTGTATCAAAGATGCACTTGTGTAAGCTAACGAGCCGTTATTGCACAGCAGTGGTGCATGGTCTCAATCACAAGAGATGTCAATCACGTAGCCTGTCCCCTCTGATGCTGGAAGGCAATTTACCTTTTACCCATCACACGGAATCAGGGTCGTTATCAATGACACTTCAGATTATCTCTGGGGAACAACTGCTTATTTCAGCCATTCAGAGAAGATGAACTTACTGAGGACAAACATATGTGGAAATTTATTTAGAACATCAGTTAGCACCCACATTCTCCCCACAGGAACGTTTTAAACAGGCATAAGTAGAAAAGCCATGCTGACTCCCAGCTAAGGTTTACCTAGGACCTCCTTCTTTGGTTACAGTAGCCATTAGCAGGTGCTTTCAAAAGCTCTCTAGGAATCTGGGCATTCATGAAAGAGTATTTCCCCTAGCACATCCTCCCCACGTCTGGTTTCTTCATTTCAAGGCTGCATCTTCATAACGGTGATTAACTGCCTCTCATGGATCTTTCCCCCATGGTAACTTTTGAATCTATTTATACTTTTGACATTCCAAACTTTCCATCAATGATCTACAATTTAAACTTACAAGGTGTCAAAACCTGCCATCTGATCATTTTATTCAGCATTTCATTTGTTTGTAAATTATGAAAAATAGCAACTAATCATTCCTACTCATCCTCTGTGCACTTGCCATAACAATACACATCTCTCATGCCCTACCTTCCGTTTTCTCTTTTTCAAATGGAGCAGGTTTGTCCAGCATGTATCTCGTACACAGTCCATACTTTTGACCACCCTTGTTGCCCTTTCTGTGACTTTCTATTTTCAATGTATCCTTTTTTGAAACAAAATACCTAGAATCTGAGATGGTGTTTAAGACTTCAGCATTCACTGTGTTTACTTCTGTAACACCCCAAGCACTTGCCTTTTTTATACTGCCATAAGTCTTCAGCTTCATTTTATGATGCATTTAAGTTCACCCTGGATTATAAGTATTCAGGCTACATCGTGATGTTAGATGCAAAAGAACACATCTGAAGGACAGCAATGTTTGTATTTCAAAAGTTAACATGTAGCTAAAAAAAGGTGAGTGGACTAACAACCTCACTGTATGGATAATTTTCCAAGTCTATAATGAATAAAATACATTCAAGTTTCCTATGCTTCATCTGGTTCTGGGTCTGCTAGCAAAAAGATGTTACTAACACGGTTTGTGATGCTCTCTTGCTTATCCTGTCCCTTACATTTCACAGATGTGCACACTGGCATTCACATTGGCACGCAAGAAAGAGAAGAGGAAAAAAGCTTATTTCAAAACTATTGTTTCCATTGGTGACCCTCAAGAAGCTAACAAGAATTTCCAACTGCCTTTATCACACTGTCATACCCCCTGCACCTCCCCAAGTTCATGATAGACTTGCATCGGTGTCGCAGAGCCCCTTCCAAACCTACACCACTCAGACCCTGCAAACTATGTCTCATCTCATTCTCCCTCCATTTTTGGTTACCTTTCAACTTGGCTGCCAAGTGCCTGAACTCCTCGATGGTGTAAGCTTCATCTACTCCTGTGAGAGCAATTGCCCCATCTGTGCCGGATCTGGGTCCGTCCCACAGCTCTCGGCTTGGATCTCTCTGGGGCACAAAAAGTATGGCCTTGTGGGAGGGCAGCGCTTTGCCAGGGATGCTCTGCAGCACCAGGATGCTGTCAGGCTCCTGGAACCCACAGAGGTACAGGAAGTTAGTGTCCTGATGGAAAATGTAGGGGATGTCATTGCTCATGTAGTACTTGGGGTTGGACAGCAGAATCACTGTGTGGTCCAATCCATCCCAGCCACAGGCTTCTTTCTGGATCAGTGCCATCAGTTTGTGTCGGCGAAGAGCATATTCCACCTGTGACAATCCTGGGGTTACCTCTCCTATGAACAAAAAACAAATCAGACCGAGAAATTCAAGGCACTCGTGATATTCTACTAGTTGCATGCCTGATTCCTGCCTAGTCCCTAACGCCTTTCAAATGTGTGGCTTCGTTGTGGTCCCTCATCGGCCTTTCCATTGCTCTCATGCATCTCTTCAGCTTCCATCCCTACAGCACATCCTCAGTCTGCTCCTCCACCATGCAAAGACAGAAATCTATTTCAACAAACCGGGTTTTCTGTTATGTATTTCCATGCAAAGGAAGAAACCACAAAACCCAATAGATTTAGACAAATATCCAAAATGGACGGATGTTTTCAGAAAGACATGTAAAAAAAGGGGAAGGGGCAAGGCAAACTGGACTTTGCTGAAAACTGATGAGTTTTATAGCACCTGGACATTGAACAGAAGATTACCTTCTGAGGCTGAGCATTAATTCCTCAGATAAAGTTAGAATGTCTATCCAAACACACACCAAGTCAATTCATGAAATAACTAGTTCTAAACCGCAAGGGGCGGACTGAGTGTTACAGATACTGGGAGATCAGGCAGAAACACAGAGGTTGCAGAGTCTAACCAGTCACAAGATTCCAGGCAGAAAGAAACCACAAACTTCAGGCTGGCAGCAGACTCCACTTAAGAGGAGAAATCTTCTCCAGGGCAGATGTAGCTTTTCTCAATAATTACTAATTTGGATTTTTCCAAAGTTAAATACTATATTCCTAATGACTCTAACTAAACAAATGATCTCTTAGATGAAAGTACGTTTTAAACTGCTCCAGTCACAAGGATACAAAGCACAGCGATCAAGGTACTCACCAAGACCAGACTGAAGTTGAAAGAATGACCAACAACAGCTTAAGTATGTATTTCTTAAAATGTGAGACTCTTCAGCTATGATTTAAATTAACACATAAGCCTTAATCAGTACTTTGGCTGATACCCTATTTTAACACAGGTTGCGTTTTCATACTGTTAACTTTCTACTCTCATAATCTTTTCTTCCTCTTTTATATATGATGCGGTGATAATTGTAGAATAAAAACTGAAATTTGACTTGTACTGTAAGTGGATTCGTGCATGGGTGGGGTAGAAAGTAGAAACTCTATCAGAACTTGACAAAGTCCTTGACAAAAGAGAGTTTAAGGAAATCATGTATGTTGTACTTGTATTAAACTTCAAATTTTTGCAACAACATACATCCCCAACACCTATTTGGTGTAAGTCTTTAAAAAAACAACAACCAAAAAACACAAAAACTAAAAAAACCCAAACAAAACAAAGCCACCAGATTTGTTTTACTCTGTAGATCTACAAATGACAGAGAACACAGAAACTGATTTAATGCAACCTGACCCCACATTTCTGCAATATTATACTGTAAATTTCCTATGCTCTGCTGCATTCCAGCCAGCTTTCTACCTGCCACAGACAGTCCAGTGAAGTTTAGAAGCTGCATTAAGGGGGAATATGGGAATCCCTTTTATCTTCCAACTGTGAGGCATGGAAATTCTCTTTGCTTTAAAGGCATCTGCTTTTTAAAACAGTAATTGCAACGAAACGATGTTGTATTATTTTAAGGAAAACACCACTCCTTTATCAAATGGAAAATTACTAGAGGCAGGTAGAATTCATCTCCAGTGTTTCAGCTGTGAGCACTTTTACAGTGTCAGCCTCATTTACTCTGAACTGTTAATCAGTGCCCTGATCAATCTGATCTAATATTTAAGTTAGCCCAGATCTGAGCAGAGGGTTGTCCTGCTAATTTCCTGAGGTCCCTTCTGACCTGAATTATTCTACAGTTACACATGTAAGTGCATGGTTATATGTCATCTCTACTCCCTGTATATCTATCTATGGAAAAAGAACAGAGAATCAGAACGCTTTCCTGGGCATATTCCTGAATATATTTCACTTCCAATATTTTTTAGTTTTTATCACTGGCATCTCATACCTACATGCTCACTAATCTCATAAAAATGCACAACCTCAACTTCTGTTTCATCACTACCTTCTAACTTTATAGCCACAAGTCTCTTTTTCTTTTTTTTCCTCACAGGTTGAACACTCTTCTGAAGAGGGCATGTTCTTTAGACAAGTGGTGTCCAACTCTCAGTAAGTCTCTCCCCAGTCTCCTTTTCTGAATGACACCTTTATTTTGTGACTCACAGGATATCAAATATGCAGCACTCTGGCAGTTCAGCTTGCACAAATGACTCCTTCTTAATATAAATTGTATTGTATTTGCAGGACAATGAGCTTCCAAGATGCCACTGCCATGAAAGGTCTGCAGTATCGAAGTCATTGACACCAAGCACTCCATGAGAAAAAGGTAAAAAGCTAACGTGTGAAGCCTACTTTTGGCATCAGTATCATCATCTCAGACGAGGAAATTAACTACTAAATATAATTACTGCCTAATTAAGTTAATAATAAACAGCCAAAATGGACACCTGTATGATGCAGCAAATCAATACTCTGTCCTAGACATCTCAGAAAAATAGAGGCAATAAAGAATACCAATGATTGGCTCATACAGGGCCTGAACCTCACCTGGTTTGAGAAGGTGTGGGTGTGTGAAGGGGCTGGGCTGGCCCAAATAACGGTTTGGAATCTTCTTCTGCTGGGCAGGCTGGATGGAAAATCTTTGGAGAGCACATGACTTGGAAACTAGAGGAAAAGAAAGGCACCATGTCAAGGTAAAAGACACTTACAGTTAGAAAACTGCAGAATTATACTCCAATCATCTGACTCTTAGTAGCATTCATCCACCTTATATGACATAAATATCCCTCCTTAACTTCTCAACTTGTTGTGTACCATAATAGTTTATGAAACTGTGCAAACAACACAACTAATGATTAAATATTCATAAAACAGGTTGAAAGAAACTAACCTATGCTAAACCTGACAATCCAGCAAGAAAACCCAGAAAGCGGTGTCGGTTTCCACATGCCCAATTTCTACGCTTTGTTCCCTTGATCACGGAAGGGCGTGAAGCACAGCACCTGCATATCACCTCTTCCTGAGTCCGTCTTCAAAAATACCACTCATATGGAACAGTTACACAGTTTTCAAGGCCTTTCCAGTTCTTTTTTTACTAATAATTTCACAAAGAAACATCAAATAACAGAGGCTTATACAGAAATGCATTTACTTCCTGTATGAAAGATACACAAGAGTCCCTGTTTATATAACGTAACTTGACAGTAGCATTAGCCAAATTGCAAACAGTTCCTAGGAAGCATAGAGTTATGTATCCCACCTCCAAATCCACACACAGCAATAGCAGACAAGTTTTAAAGAGAATCACAAGCATGCATTTGGGAGCTGGGGGTGCGCGCAGTAAAATGAAAGCTAAAATTAAATAGCATTGTCACAGGCTTTACCAGCCTTGGAATCCTCAGTCACAGCCTTCTGCAGCTGAAGAACTGCTTGTTTGCCTCGATGCAAATTACCAGAGGCATGGAAGGAGATGGCAACCAGTTTCCCAACATAGAATCGTCAAATGGTAATGGTTGGAAGGGACCTTAAAGATCGTCTAGTTCCAACCTCCCTGCCATGAGCATCTACCGTTTTGGAACCTGGTTCTCTTTTATGTCGCTCACCACGTGCCTACTACAAGACCAACTCGTGCTGCCATAGCACGGCACTGGGTTCTTTGAACGAGGGGCAGTCAGCTCTATGCCAGCGGAGCAGCGGCCAGCCTTCCAGGGAGCTGGGGCGCAGTGGCCTGCAGCCGAACCCACGGACCGCGGGCTGTCAGCGGGAGCCAGCACCACCGGCCACGAACTGACGATCACCTACAGCTGACAGCTGACAGCCACAACGTAAAGCGTTCACTGCGGGATGACTGACTGGAGTAACGGTCTGGAGACCCCGGCAGCGAAACGTGACCACAGCTTTTCGGGCAGCTTGAGGGAAGAGCGCGTTTTCACCGTTTCTCTCCACCCGCGCTGCGTACGGACAGGGCAGGCAGCAAACACAGCGCCATTCGGCAGGGACAGCAAGGAGCTTCCCACGCCGCTGCTTTGTTTTCCAACCAACGAGCCGTCCTTCCCTCGGGTACGAC